TCCTTAGTCAGCGCTCCTTTTGGTGTCTTGAGGCTCTAAAACTTAACTTCAAATTTATGTGTTGGGATTATTCGAGAGAAAAAACCTAATGCGAAGCAATCCTTGCAAGTAGAAACCTTGACCCCATCATTAGACTCTTTCCTTTCATTAATCTCTCTAAAAATAGCATGTGTAAATTTCTTGTGTATGTCTGCAGTGCTAGAATGATTTGCAACTGCACTAATGACACCGTAACACGCCTGGTAAAATTCTTCCAATAGTCACATATCTTAATTTGGCTTTGGACGATGATTCGGGAGGCACTTGCAGACTAGGAGTTAGATGGCAGATTATTTTAGATGATTCTTAATCTTAATTCTTAATCCTCCTGTACTATCCAGATAGATCTTGAGACAGACTCATTCCCCTCAGTGTACATTATTTTACAAAGCTCATCTGCCACAAACAGGCCTATTTAAAGGAAGGGCACATTTAATGGTAGGAGGCAGCCATGTTTGTGTCTGTTTAGTGCTTGGATGTTTACTGCTCCTGTTGTTAATCTGCTGTATTTTACGGCTCACGCATTACCTCGTCATGTGCCATCCGTCCATGTCCATCCACATTATCATAAGAGAAAAACAGAGTGAGGAAACAGTTACAAAAGAGGGTTACCAGATGGTAGATATAGGCGTGCAGTATGTCAGTGTTGTGGTCAATGGCAGTTCAGCTGTAAAATATGTTGACGAAAGGGACAGTAGAACAGCTGCTCGCCATCCCTCATGGCCACCCAACTGTTAAGAGTTTGCAATTAAAAAGCCAAAATTAGTCCATTCAAATGGATCACTTCGACAACAGCATGCCTACACTTTAATGTTCGTACCGCAGAAATGTATCTGATTTGTTACTTTCATTTGTAAGGGCATCTTTTTTAAAGGACTTAACAGTTATTCATTTTCAAGTAAACCGAAACTCTTGTAGAATAGTCTGAAGCATCATGATATCATGTCGGAATGGTGTACATTTTCCCTGATAAGTGCTAATTTTTGTTTTGTCAAACTGTGACATGAATTCAGTTTGTTTGCATTTTTCACGTGTATTGTGTAGTGTTGTCGTGTGTCCAGAAGTAACACAAGGGGGTCAAATGTGATGTCAGTTAGCAAGGGGAGGCTATAGGTTTGTTTCCATAAATCAAGTCAACATCTTAGAACATTCTACTCTTTCCAGTGCCAGCTTGATACATTTAAACTAACACCAAAGGGTTATTGCATGAGTAAGGTACATAGAATGAACAGACAACAAGGATATCATTGTTTTACCGAAAAGGCTCAACCTTTATGTGAGATGAGCTGATGTTAGATTGAGTATTGTCACTCCCTACCTCATAAAAACTGACTGGTTTTAATCTGCAATACAAATGTAAACACTCAAGTACTATGAAGGGTAATGTTTTCTGCATAATTCACATCCTTTTTCCCAAATTCTCATTTCTTTACCAGGCATCACAACTGTGCTGACCATGACCACACTGAGTACCATTGCGAGAAAATCTCTTCCGAAAGTGTCATATGTGACTGCCATGGACCTGTTTGTGTCTGTCTGCTTCATCTTCGTCTTCGCCGCGCTCATAGAGTACGGCACGCTGCATTATTTTGTCAGCAACAGGAAGCCCAGTGCCAAAAAGGACAAGAAGAAGAAAAACCCGGTGAGTTTGATCCCATACCGATAGAGTTTTTTGTTGTTGCTTGAGCTTTAAGACGTTTCCAGAAAGGTGTTCTTCACGCACTCTTTAAAGTCAATGCAAGGAATATTCTTTTTATGAATTGACAGTACTAAACAGTTCAGCATTGTGATAAGACAAGTGATACCCCATCATTTCTCAGGTTAAATTATCCACTCAAGCACTCTTTCCCAGCACCTTATCGAGGGGGAACACCTGAAATTACTCAAACCTTGGTTCAGCTCAAACCTTTTACATAATCCATCACACATCTGTTACACTTGTACTTTAAAGCAGCGTCACATGACAAAACGAGCTGGACTCATTTGAACCCTAAATCCCTCAAGGGATCATAGCCGCTGGGGTTAAGGTCACACTTATTGTAAGCTCCCACAACTGTCCTTACATTTACCATGCATGGTGCTCACCAAGAGTGCGGCTGCTGTCTAATAAGCAAGAGCTTACTTGTGGTTTCAGAAATCCTTTTGCTTTTAATTAGAATTTGTTTCTTTCTTTCTACTTGTGCTTTCCATAGTGGAAACTGGTTTTAGATAATTAAACCAAGCTGTAGAGTAGCGTGAAACTGTAGGTGACGGAAAATCTGTCGAGATGAACGGGGGTATTGAGCTGGAACTTTGAGGGAGAAAGAAGGCAAACTTGTTTTGGCACAAGGTTGATAACAAATGATAAAGTGGGAGGTGAAATGCCAGTTTACCCTTTCAACTGAGCTTTGTTAGGCGCTCAGCATGGTTTACCAATATACATGTAAGCAAGTTCTGGAATTGATTTTCTTTTATTCAATGGGGGAAAATGTATTTCATTTTAGGTTGATGTTTTATTTTTGCCTCAATATTCTGTTGTGAATTGTTTCTATACCTGATAATAGACATCTTAGCTGAAGATATGTAAGTAACACAAATCAAATTGTAATGATGTCACACTCACATGGAGGATGTGGGTTATAAGTTGGATTGTGTGCATTTAATCTTTCCAGTTTTGCAGTCATATTTTTTCCTGAGGTGATGCTGGCGTAAGAAGCATGTGAGATAGACATATCCCAACATGCATTACCCCCCCCCCCCCACGTCTGTTTGAAATACGTTTGTCTTTCTGCTGTGT